CTTTCTCCTGGTTCATCAACTTGCCAGCGAACTCTGTTCAAACATGGCAACAATTGGAACAATTATTCCACACTCAGTTTTATAAAACTGAGTCTGAAGCTACTTTGGCTGATTTGGCGAATCTACGTCAAATGCCAAACGAATGGGCAGAAAGTTTTCTCCAAAGGTTCAAGACAGCAAGAAGCAAGTGTTTTGTACCTCTGCCCGAAAAAGAATTTGTCAAAATCGCTCAGGGTTGTTTGAGCTTTGATTTAAAAAAGAAATTCCACGATAAGGAATTTCCTGACCTTTTCCAGTTGAGTGCGAATGTGATTAGGTATGAACCACTGATAAGAGAAGAAGAGCAGATGAAAAATTCTAGTAAAGGGACTTATTACAAAGACCCAAATTTTGACGTTCATACCATCAGCGACAAGTCATACGATCAAGTCGAAGTGTGTTTGGTTGAATTGGTCAAAGGAGACATGTATACTTGTCCTATAATGGCTAAGCCTAGACCATCGGGCAAAAATGAGCCTATCAAAGATGAAAACATAAAGGCTAGAACGTTCTCGTTCGATGTAACCAAAACTGACCTTATATTTGATAAATTATATAGGGATAAGCAGATAAAGTTGAGCGATAAGCATAAATTGCCAAACCCTGAACAAATTAAGGGTAAAAAATATTGTAAGTGGTATAATGCATGGTCACATTTGAGTAACAATTGCTTGGTTTTTCGCCATGTATTGCAGGATGCCATTGAATTAGGACGAATAACGTTCGACGATAAGAAGAAGATGACAGGGGATGAAAATCCTTTTCCACAGCCACTTGGAGTGAACATGGTGACGTCTGGTTTCAAAAACAAGTTGTCAAAATTCAAATTGGTCATAGATGACGGAGAAGAGGACCCTGGACCACATCCTAGTGTCTTTGAACGAATCAAGGGGAAGGAGCCAAAAAAGGACGAAGACGTCCTGTGTGCAAGATGTAAAAGAGAAGTGAGTGGGAACACGGAGAAACCAGGGATATGACAGCATCCCCATCGCCCTACTTTCTTCCCAAACACTCAGCCTGGTAGAGGGCGAGGTACATCATTCTATAGAGGACCGCCTTTTGAGAGACAGTTCAGGCCAGTAGATAATGGGAGAACATTCAAGCCGCAACCCCGCCGGCCAAATGTATGGCATTCGTTCCAGTATAATGCAAGAAGGGCAATACCCTTCGATGAGATGACTAGAACCCAACAAAAGCGTTTCTAACGAAACTATGGATGAATGATGAGGCAGCTACAGGGAGTGCCACATCCTAAAGCGCCTAAACTACTTAAGGTAGCCAATCAAAATGCTCTCAAAGATAGTGAATAAATCGGTACAGATGAATCAATGAAAGAGCTAACAGAAACTTCTTCTGGGAGATCAAAGTTTGAGCGAGATAGAAGGGATGAAGAAGATCCAGATCAGCCTTTTACTATCCAGTTCGGTACGTTACCTCCTGTCGTGGCTAATAATTACTTACTCGTCAATGAATTCAAGAATAAAGAAAAAGAAGAAGAAGAAAGGGAGGACAACGAAG